AGTCTCGAAACGACAGCGTTTATGCGCGCACGCGTGCACGCGCGCGTACCATCACGTGTCGTGATTCAGACTCAATCACGCTAAGTTCTGATATTGTTCGCGCGTGTTCCCACGGCTGCTAATGTTACCGCCGGCGTGGATGATGGCTAACGTCACTGGTCCAATAAAGCAATCTAGATTCACTACCGTCTATAGCCGAGCTCGTATAAACATCGTAGGATTGATAAAAATGATGATGTTCCACTTAAAATGAGGCTCTACGTCTGTTGCTGCACGTTAAGTGTCAGCGTTTTAGCGCGGCTGCCTGTTGAAGGAGTCTTCATCGAGCAAGGAGGTCGTAAAGTCCAGCATCAACACCCTTTTATTGGCGATTTCAGTGGCAACCATAGAACATCAGGAAGCGAAAATAAAGCATCTTTATTACTCTATTGTTCCGATTCTGGAGATGCTGAGCGCTGCAATCCGGCAGCGTCCTTTCAGAGTCAGAAATTAAAGCAGCGGATTAGGCTAGACTATTGAATACAGTTATCTCGGTCGAGTTGATCGCGTCGAATCATGAGGTGTCGGGGTGAATGTGCCACGGTCCGTATAAATGCGCTGAATTCGATCGTATCGGGTGAAATGGCTTACGAGATATAAAGATAATATCCGAGAATAATTTTATGGCTTCTGTGCACGCACGCGGTACGTAAGATTGCGAAACTGATATGCCGGCTGAATTATACATGGATGAATACGCGTTTTTCCATTTGCGCAGTGACGTCTCAAGTGCGGTGTTGTAGTAAACGATATTATTCATTGCTACTTACAACAGCTTTCATCATCAACGCCATCGGCGTCATAGCCATCGTCATCATCGCCGTCACGACCATCGTCACAAATGTTGTTATCGTTCGGTGGTAATATGCTAATATTGCAGCTAATGCTATTGCAGCGCCAACTACGGTAACGTAATAATCAACATCGACAAGAACATGGAGAAGTTAATGCAAAGGAAAATGCGTTAAAAGTTTTTTTAGCGTCTCGAAGGAATACTTCTTCATTTCTACTTTTAGCGTTAGCTTGACACGCACAAGTCTTCGGGCTTAGCAGCATTTGCTACCCGCGCCCGCGCAAGACCCGTAATAAACTTTGCTTCAGCTCACCGGCCACAACGAAATTGCATTTGCTGGACAAATAGTTAAATATTTATGCAAAATCACTTCAGTATTTTGTTGCCACGGGATCAATGCAATTTTATTTAGTAAATCTCCATATGCGCGTGAGTTTTTTTTCTTTGACGCAGAAGGAAATGCGTCTACCGAGAGGAAACTAGTCCAAAAAGAAGTTAAACCTGCTCAACGCTGCTATTCGAGCAGCAGTCAAAATAGCTACGGCTTTCTGCTAAGCTTTGTGTTGGTTGGAGGGTCTTTAGAAAACGCAGCCGGGTTCGGAACGCACGCGGGCTTAGGTGAGTTTTGCTGGGAAACGACTATAGGCGAAATAAATCAAACGACTTTGGCCTCCTCCTCCTCCTCCCCGCATATTGAGATGTACACGCACTGCGGTGTTAACGCCAGCTCTGGTTATTTGCTTTAAACCCCATAAGCGCGTGTGTTCACTGGCAGAGAACGGCATCACCAAAGCGATGACGCTATCGTTGCCTGCAGACTTATGACTGCATTCGAGGTTTCTCAGATGAAACATGGCGGACATAGCTCATGGTAATGACTACAGAGAGAAAGCAGACAACTAATTCTGCCCTGACCAATAACGAATATCGTTCTACTAAACGCTGTCGGTTGGCCAAATTCCGTCAATAATCAAACTCATCAAAATCAAAATCATCCGTGCTTGAAGTTTTAACGATAGTATACACTATCCGATATGGAAAAATAATGCAATAATTTATTCTTATTCATTCATCACCAGTGATGTTTATGAAAGCACATGACTCGTATATTTTCTCGCGCTAGGACTGAAAAGATGGCAATTTCGTACTCGCAATAGATCATATTGCAATATATTACATTTGTACACGCTTCGTTGGCACGAGTTCCGCATGCTAGATTTTTGACACGCTTGAACAGCGAGCGTGTTAAGAATCTATAGTTTTCGCGGTTAAATCGTAATTAAAGGGAATTCAATTAAAATTCTTGCCCGTTGAAAGCGATGATAACTAGTTAATTTTATCACAGTTCTTTCGCGTGAAAAGATACGAAATGGTTGACGTGACGTAGATAGTGAGAACCTAACCCTGACCCTAACGCTGACACGTACCCTAACCTTAACCATAAGAACAACTATAGCCTTTATCTTAACCCTAACCATAAACTAACGCCAAAGCTAACCCTGACTTTAACCGTAACAATAACCATAAGCCTAACCTTAACGCTTTCCTTAACCCTAACCTTAACCATAAAAATAACCGTAACCCTTGTTCTAACACTAACCTTAAATCTAACGCTAACGATAACCATGACCCTAACCCTAACCCTAACCCTAATCATAACCATGTAATGAAGCAAAGTCGTTACGATATTTACATTACGATTACAATGCCGCAGAGCAGTCACGGGTCTTTGGCCACGTCTATTTTCGAGACTAGATTAGTACGCAGATAAGCAAACCCTTTCTAACTAATGCTACGTTTACACTATGTTCCCGGCGGCCACGGCAGCCCCGTTTGCCCGAAACGTAGTGCGCCGTGGGATTATGGCAATTTTTTTCTCTGTATTCAAGTTTTGTTAGGTCTTGCCAAGTTTTCTCACGGTCTATCACGGTATCTGTGACGGGCCGTGAGGCGGAAGGGGCTGCTGAGTCTCGGAGGGTCCAAGGCGGACTACGGTTCGGTCCGCGGTCTATCACGGATGCCAGTACGTTCCCTCCCGGCCCGTCACGTTCTGATGGGGTCCCTCACGTTTCTCACGATCTGATCAAGGTCTGACACCTTTTTCACGTTCTGTCAAGGCTTTCTACGGATGAAACGTGGACGCCGGGCAGCTTTGGAGCACGTTTGTGCCCACGGTATAAAAAGAAGGCTTCCCAAGCAATAGCAATCATTGTATCCTGAGATTTCGACGAGACAACATCATGAATGCACAAGATGAAGAAGAGTTTGTTTGCATGTTTGCTGGGTGCATACATCCAGTCTTTGCGTCAGCAAGAAAAAGGCCAGCAGCAGCTTGGCTTTCTTTCTTCAAAGCTTGGTCTTCTCTCTTCGTATTGTAGATGCAGTAATGTGTCGTCGATTGAATTCGAATGAAGCTCCCCTGCCTGGCCCGGCTGTTATATACTCCCTCCCAGACCGCGCGCACCGTGACTGCTATGGCAAATCTTTTGACAGATTAAAAATCTGGCGCAGCATCCACGGCAATCACGGCCTGTCACGTTTGCCCATTCCGTCCCCCCGCGTTGTCTCGCGTTCATCCCGTTTTGTCCACGGTGGCCTGAAACGGGGCTGCCGTGGCCGCCGGGAACATAGTGTAAACGTAGCATAAGGCACAGTGTCGCCCAGCTGGCATCGTAAAGAACAGATTAACGATGATCATTAAAGCTAAAGTCACACCAAGCTCCCGGACCGGGCCGGACGCTGCCGGACTGATCCGGGGAGAGATCCTTGTTGGGTCCTGGACGGTCCTGGACGGTCCGGCCCGGTCCGGGGTGGTCCTTGATGGTCCTGCGCATTCCGGGATATCGCCCCGGAAGTTTTAAACTGTTTAAAATTTCCGGGGTGATCCGGGACGGTCCGGGAAGTTTTCCCCATCCGGGGTGGTCCTGGACGGTCCGTGGCGCGTCCGTGGTAGGTCCGGGACAGTCCGTAGTGGCACCGTGTTGAACCGGGCCCACACCGTGTTGAACCGGGCCCACACCGTGTTGAACCGGGCCCATCCGTGGCCATCCGTGTCGTTTTTGTCGGCCACGGATCACTACGGATCAAGTCGGACCCAACACGGATGGGAGCACGGATGGGCCAGGACGGGGCCGGACCAGGCCGGATCAGGTCCGTGGCGGTCCGAGGCAGTCCGGGGCGGTCCGTAGTGACTCCGTGCTGGGGCCGGCTTCATCCGGGCTCAATCCAGGATGGTCCGTGGCGCTGCCGTGCTGGTCCGGCCCGATCCGGCCCGATGATGCTTTTTTCGACTGTCTCGTAATTTTTTCACCCGCATCGCCACGGATTATAAATTTTACGGTCCGGGGAGATCCTGCCCCATCCGGGGTAATCCGTGGACAGTCCGGCCCCAGTGTGACTGAGGCTTTAGTCCAAGCGAAGGACGTAGAACTGCATAGAACAAAGAGAACCTCCCCCCCTCTTGTTGAGAATGGCGACAGTGGTCAAGATGACCACTGGTCTAGACATACTTCTAGAATAATTAACCTACAATAAAAATCCGTGGCACTACAAAAACCACGTGACACGGCCAGAATTGTATAAATAGCAAGCTTTTCTACATATATTTCTTGTATATGATCGTAGTTAGATCTTACCGTATTCGTGTACAGTATGCGTCTTAAACGTATAAGACGTGCGTGTGTAAACTCCTTTTAGAGATATTTTATTAAGTGTTGTTGTAATAACTTTTTCTCTGTACAATTTCGTTCATTACAATCATTACCCTGACCCTGACCCTAACTCTAACCCTAAGCATAACGCTGACCTTAACCCTGACCCTAACCCTGCCCCTAACTCTGACCCTAACGCTAACCCTAAACATAACCATAATCCTAACCCTAACCCTAACACTAACGCTTACCCTAAATCTAACCTTAACCCTAACCCTAACCCTAACCCTAACCCTAACCCTAACCCTAAACCTAACCTTAACCCTAACCCTAACCCTGACCCTAACGCTTCCCATAACCCTAACCCTAACCCTAACCCTACCCCTAACCCTAACCCTAACTATATCCATGACTCTTATCCTAACCCTAACTCTAAATCTAACGCCAACGCTTACCATAACCCAAAACCTAAATCTAACCCTAACCGTGTAAGACCTGCGCCAACTATATATTCGTACCGAGTATCGTCACCATCGCCTCCATGTATTTGACGGGGTTCGTGTTAACTTGGCACATGTAGACGCCCGCGTCCTCTCCCGTCGTGTCGCGTATCGTCAACGTCCACACGTCGCGGCTCTCCTGTCCGACTACGATTCTATCGTCCTGCAGGATCCGCTCGCTCTGCAGGGCTATGATCGTCTTGTGGTCCGGTCGCCACCAGACGATCTGTAAGAATGATTCATAAGAGTATTATAAGAGTTTAGTGTTAAGTATGGTAAGTATTATAAGTAGTATAATTAAGTATAGTATTAAGTATAGTAAGTATTATAAGTAGTATAATTAAGTATAGTATTAAGTATAGTAAGTATTGCACGCTGCGAGACGAGCAGACAAACACAGCAACGCGCGCGCACGCTAGCGCCCCACACAGGCAGCTCACAACACGAGGCCACAGCACACACACACACACGACACACGACCACACACACACCCACACACGCGCGCGCGCGCTGCTCACGGCGACAGCTACGCAGCACACACACACGCACGGCACGACACAGCACACGGCATATAGCGTACACGCACAGGTCAATCGTCATACACAACACACACACACAAGCCACACTACACACACACACACATCACCACAAACCACACACACAGTCAGCACAGCACACACACACACAAACAGAAAACAGCACACACACACATGTCGGTGCACAGCAATTACAACAGTCTCACACCGGGCGTTGGACACATACACACACACACATCACAAGCAAACAGGCGCACTGCACGCACACACACACGACCACGAGCGCACACGCACGCAGCATCACACACGTAAAGTAACTGCACACATATAATAACACACACACCACACAGCACATCACACACACACACATCACACACACGACAGTCGCTACACACACGCACGCACACACAGTATTACTGCACAGCCGTATATAGCATACACATACACACATTCACCACAGTCACACACACATGACACACACACACACACACAGCACACACACACACAGCACCACACACGCGCCACACATCTTAGCGGCAGCTACAACACACGTATACTATACTTAAAAAAAAAATAC